AAATAATTTATTTTTGGTTTAATATTATAAATTTTATAAAGATAATAATTAAGTATTCTATTAGAATTCAATGATTATCCTAATTATATTTTAGATTTTTTATATTTAAAATAAGATGTTTATCCTGTATTTGATTATGTTTATCTGCAGTTAGTTACACGAATTCAGATATGAAACTCTAATAAGTTGTACTTACGAACAATCTTGAGTTTTAAGTAATATGCATTAATAAACAGTACTTTATGCATAAAAAGTGGTTTTTAAGAGTTTTTGTCAAATGCTTTATAATATAGTATAGATAAAAATGAGAAACTTCCACAGTTTTGTGAAATACGCATTGCTCTATTAAAATAGAATACCAGATACGACTCCATATTAAAAACCGGTCTTGGTTATATCGAATTACATGATTATAGATGTTTCTTTCATTTGATATGAACAAAATTAATTCTAATTCTTACATGATTGAAAAAAGTAAAGGGTTCTGACACGAAAATTATGGTCTTTGACCACAGGGGAAGTTTGGGCATCTAGTTCAAGTAGTTGGTATGGATTCATTTCAACTTTTTCTAAATCGTATCACGTATTTTCTTCTTCGTAATTTTTCATTGGCATACAACAAAGTATTTACTAGCTGAATTTTGATGTTTGAGACTTTTGAGTTATATACCAAGTTTTTATCTGGACGGTTTCAACTACTTGTTGCCACAGTTTTTTCTTATTATTATTTTTCATATTTTCGGTTGCAATGTTGTTTTTAAGTAATATATATTTGTGTGTGTGTGTAAGTGTATACGTGAAGTATTGTGTGAGAATGAAAGTTAATGTGAAAAGTGTGAGAAATGATTTGGACTATTGATTACCTTTAATCTCAAACTCATCTATGAATCATGTTTGATATGAGGATTGATCTACTGCATCTCATACTAATCTGTATCTAAGGGTGGAGATACTTCTTATAAATTAAAGGACAACGCAAATTGAAAAATTATTTAAAACAAAATCAACAAACTTTCTCATTTTAAGTGTTTGAGTCGATGAACAATTTTTCTAAATATAGACCATTAGACTTTTAAAACTTGGTTAAATACATCATTTGGACCTAAAAATTACTTATCGTCGGTTTAAAAGGTAAAAAGTTATTTTGAAGCGGAGGGGGTGACACTTGTAACGTTGGGGTATTGTTCTGGTTTTATTTATTTATTTATATAAAAAGGTTTAACAATTTGTATGTTGAAAATATTTTTACTATCTAAACAGATTCTAGATATTTTTCAGATCTAAAACATCTATTTAACTAGATTTTAAAAATTAAATGGTTTATTTGTTTGAAAATTATTTAATCATATAATTATTTAAAATAAAAAAGTTAATTAAGATTTT